ACTGCTGTTACTACTGCAACGACTACTACGACTATCATTACTACTACTACTACTACTACTACTACTACTACTACTACTACTACTACTACTACTACTACTACTACTACTACTACTACTACTACTACTACTACTACTATTACTACTACTACTATTAATAATAATAATAATAATAATAATAATACTTTTATTAATAAAATAATTATTAATACTATCATTTTTTTATGCCCTACAAAAGAAACTTTGTTCTTGTAATTTCCTATTTTTTATTTGTTTTATTTTAGCTGTTGTTATTATTATTATTAATATTTGCAGCATTAGTAGTAGTTGTGGTAGCAAGTAGCAGTAGTCGTAGTAGTAGTAGTAGTAGTAGTAGTGGCAGTAGTAATATCATTATTATCTTATTATACAGTAATTTATTATAATAAAAAAAATTATTCTCAGTTGCTCTTTTCTTAATTATTTTGGCTTCTCATATTTTTTCATTCTTTGTTCTGAGAGTTCCTTCAGAAGCTCGTTATCGCATCTCAACCTCGCCTAATTCCTTCTTTGATGATCGTAAAATCTTTTCTTAAAATGCACCAGACAGGCGAAATCTGCACGAAAAACAAGAAAAACAAGACCGCTGATGGTAGTTTGTTTTGCTGCGTGTGTTCGTATGTGCGCTTTTGTGTAGTTGTGTGTCTGTATGTACGTGTGTGTGTGTTGTTGGGGTGTGTCTAATGATTTCTATATTTGTAAATAGATGCCTTTTATGTATGAATATTTGTTATCGTAAGTGTGTTGTGAGAGGGATGTGTTTATGGGTTCCTATACGATGTGGCGAGGAGTTTGAGTTTGTCTGGTTTACTTTTTGTTTTCGCTAAGTTTGCTTGAAGGGATTTATTAAATGTTTTGCATTGTTAAAACGTGCCTACGAACTGAAATTCGAAATGTATTCATCGAGAGTAAGGGAGTCGAGTTGCTTCAGAATGCCCCAATCATTTTGAAATAAATTACGTTATAAATACCTGTCTAATAATGATTTAGTGAAAATCAATCTTACAACAGGGGTTAATCAGCCAATCAATACGTCTAACCATTCATTCGATCATTCACTCATTCATACATTCATTTGATCATTCATTCATTCAATCATTCACTTCATTTATTCATTCATTCATTAGCGGTTCATCTTTATGATCTGCATTGGAAGACAAACTTCTTACAAGAGAAGCAATAAATTATGTCAAAGGAAAAAAATAAATGATCGAATGAAAGAAAAATGGATTGAACGAAGAAGAAAGAATAAACAAGAGAGGAAGAGACAAAGGAAAAGAGAGAGAGAGAGAAAAATAGAGAGAAAGAGAGAGCCTTAAATATCACAAGATGGTACGCGCAGAAAAAACAACGCCTCAATAATTATGAAAACAACAACAAAAACAACCAACCATTCACCTATCCATCCGTCCATTCATTCATATTCATTCATTTATTCATTCATTCATTCATTCATTCATTCATTCATTCATTCATCCTCTCATCTATCTATCCATTCCTCCGTCTAACCATCTTTCACTTATCCATTCAATCCTCCATCCGTCAGTTTATCGGCAGGCGAGAATCGTTTTTCATTCGCAAATGCATGATATTTTTATTGCAACAAAGAAGAGATTTTTTTTTTCAAAAGAAAATAAAAATATGAAAAAAAACGCATAACACACTTTTTGGAAAAAAATATATTACTTCTTATTTAAAAAAAATAATTATTTTTCTAATACGAATAAAAATTTATAATAAGTAAATGAATGAATCTTTAGTAAAACTCATTATGCGTTATCTCGTAAAAAATATTATTAAAAAAATTAACATAAATTTTTATTACGCTCGTGGCTTTCTCTCTCTCTCTCTCTCTCTCTCCCCTCTCTCTCTGTCTCCCTCTCTCCCTCGCTTTTTTTTCAAGTTTCAACAAATGGCAACATTTTGATGTTCTTTATAATTGTATAATCACAGCACATGGTCTAAATTGCAACATTTTGATGTTCTTGCCATATAAAGGTTCTTTTAAAACAAGGGTGGGCAAACTATAGCTCATAGTGCGGCCCTCACAACAGAAAGTTCGCCCAGCTCTGCTTTAAAAGGTTGTTTATTGGTTCGTTCGTCAATTGGTACGAAATAATTTTATTCTTCAAACATTGACTCCGCGATTCGAAAGAGATTGATTATAAGAAACAACAAGCGACCTTAACAGCCAGCCCAACCCAGACATAAGCCAGGAAACGACGTTGACCTTTAACCCTTCGACCTTTGACATCATGATTTCGGGACCAGATGAATCTAACAAGTTCTTGTTCGGGTCGTATTTTTTGAGATGCATTGAGAGGATGCCAGAATTTCAAGTTTCCATTTTCTGTTTCGTCACGTGGTGGCGTTTGTTACCATCACGTGATAATATTTTCAACTTTTTTTACTATTAAATTGAAGTTTTATTGTTTTCTTGCAACATAAAGTCATTAAAATCATTCAGAAAGATTAAATTTATATGTATAATAAAGGCAGAAGATACCAAGGGGAGGCCTATTTACCAGCATACAACACCTTCTTATGGGTTGAAGCAGGGATATGCAAAGAACCTCAATTTTTTCAACTTTTAATTATTTTCAGTAATGTCTCCCCTTGCTCCAAATCACATAACTAGAATAATAGGACTAATCGATCAATTCGATCTATCGGTCGGGCTATTTGTCGTGCTTGGATTGTTGGCTTACGAAGTTGCATGGATTTTAACGAGCAAGGTATATGAAATATTTACTTGATTTAATATGCTTAAAACATTGTAGTAATTCAGCCAGCCAGTCTGTCAGTCAATCAATCAATCAACCAACCGATCAATCAACCGATCAATCAATCAACTAAATTGAATGAACCAAATAAACAAAAATAAAAACAAAAATAAATAAAAAAAATTTGCAAGGCCTGTTCAAACTCGAACAAACAGTTAACCGTACAGATCTACAAACAATTTCGAGATTTTAGTAAAGAAAGAAAATAACAGTAGTTGCTTTTATTTGAATTCATTCAAAAATAAAAAGTGACGGTTAATTAAAATTTTAAAATGTCAATTTTTTTTTAAATTAGTATTTTAAATAAACAAATATAACAAAATATCGACCGATAAAAATAATTATTCTCCATTATTATTATTATCATACACACTCCTTAGAAGTTCTCGAAGGATAATAAACCACGTAACATGAACATTTAGTAAGAACAGTTCACAACATATCATAATGACTAAATCAACATACTAAACAGAAATAATTTATACATGCATATATACAAAGTAAATCAAGAAATATTCAAAAATTATATAACCAATTTAAAAAAAACTAGAAACCAGTCAACATTTAATGAATAAATAAATAGACATTATTAAAAAGATTGTTCAAAAAGGTACAATTTAAGGCGACGACGAGAATGAAATGTAGTTTTGTTGGTGTGGTGTTGTGAAGCGAAAACAAACACATCACACAAAACTAGTAAGAAGTCGCAAGATTAGTAGTCAGTCACCTACCTATAATTAAATTACTCTCAGGGCCCTAGCTTACTTATAAACATTGACTCAACTCACTTACCTACAAATTTGTATTTCTCGTTTTTGATGTTTCAAGTATTTTATTTAACATATTTTAGCGTTTTTATTTTACTTGAAGCTTTTAAACTAATGTTAAGCCTTAGCCTACCTACAATTGTTTAACTCATCTCAGTCCCTAACTTACCTATGAATTAAATTAAAGTCCGGTTCACGGTAAAGAAAATAAAAAGTTGAAGAGAAACACAACAACAACGACACGGAATGAATGGATGTTGTGTATGTATGTGTTGTATTGATGTGTGTGTGTGTATGTAAATGTGCGGGCGCGCACTCTCCAGAAACTTCACTCACTACCGACGAACCTCCATTGCACCGACCATCATCTGACACGCATCGATGGAATGAATTTGACCAGATACTGAAAAATAAATTGAAAAGAAAATTAATTCACTAAAATAAAAAACAAGCAATTGGAAAAAATAGGCAACTTATCTTTTTGAGATAACACTCAATCTTTGTTCAAATTCGAGTACTTTCAAAGGTGCAATGAGACAAAAACAAATTTACCTTTAACATTATCTTCCATTTGTCATCGGAACGATCATCATGGACCACCATCTGAAACGTGCTGACGCCCACCACAGCCCACCTCTCATCATTCTGTAGGCAAGTTTTTATTAATTAGCGAAGTAGTAAATCAAGAAACAAACGAACAAACGAATAAATGATTAACTGAATGATTGAACGATTGGTTGAATGAATAAATTAACTAATTAATTAATCAACCAATGATTTAATGAATGAATCAATGAATAAATTAATTGAGGAATAAATTGAAAGATGGTGATAAAATGAATGAATGAATGAGAAAAATAAAAAAAAGAAACTAAATCATACTTCAAAAACCGTCGTGGTTGTTAGCTTTGAATTGTCATCGGAACGATCATCATGAGACCTCCATCTGAAACGTGCTGACGCCCACCACAGCCCACCTCTCATCATTCTGTAGACATTTTTTTATTAGCGTATTAGTAAATCAAGAAACAGAGGAACGATCGAATAAATGATTAACTGAATAATTGGTTGAATGAATGAGTGAATGAATGAATGAATTAATAAATCAATGATTCAATTAATGAATAGAATGAATTAACAAATCAATTAATAAAAGAATAATTTAAAAGGTTGAGTGATAAAATGAACGAATGAGAAAAATAAAAAACGAAACTAAACCTTACTTCAAAAATCGTCGTTACTGTACTTTCCATTGCACCGACCACCACCATCTGGTCGGCACACAAAATGCCATCCGAATTTCAGAGTGTCTGTCGAACAGCCAACGAGCTGATTCTTCCTACACCACCATCATCATATGTAAATCATCATGAGACCACCATCTAAAACGTGCTGACGCCCACCACTGCCCACC